AAGATCTAAACTACCTGATGCTAATGTGCCATCCGCTGAGAAGCATACTGAATAGACAGTTTTATTATGACCTTTCAATTTAGCATATTGCTATCCTGTCTAAACATCCCATAAAAGGATAAACTTATCATCGCTACCAGAAGCTAATTTCGTACCATCAGTTGAGAAGCATACTGAATAGACAGTAGAACAATGACCTTCTAATTTCGCTTGTTATTATCCTGTCTTAACATCCCATAAACGGATAGATTTATCGTCACTACCAGAGGCTAATTTCGTACCATCAGCTGAGAAGCATACTGAATAGACAGTAGAACAATGACCTTCTAATTTCACTTGTTATTATCCTGTCTTAATATCCCATAAACAGATAGTTTTATCATCACTACCAGAGGCTAATTTCGTACCGTCAGCTGAGAAGCATACTGATCGGACAGCATCATTATGTCCTTATAAATTTGCTTTTAATTATTCTGTCTTAACATCCCATAAATGAATAGAATTATCATTACCACCTGATGCTATAGTAAGGCAATCATAAGAGAAGGAAACTGAATAAATAGTATTCTAATGACCATCCAATGTTGTTTATTATTTTACTTTTTCAAAATTCCATAATCTAATAGAATGATCTCTACTACCAGATGCCAATAAAGTTCCACAGGAACAGAAGCTTACTGATTAGACATAACTAGTATGACCATTTAACTACTGTATTAATTCTCCATTCTTAGCATTCCATAAACGTACGGAAAAATCATTACTACCAGATGCTAATGTATTACTATCAGGAGAAAAGCATACTGATTGAATATTACTAGTATGTCCATTTAATACAGCTTTTTATTTCCCTGTCTTAACATCCCATAAACAGATAGATTTATCGTTACTACCAGATGCTAATGTATTCCCATTTGGCGAGAAGCATACTGAGATAACTTCCTTTCGATGCCCAACTAATTTAAATCTTTGTTGATTCTCATTAAAATCCCATAAACAAATAGAGTTATCATCGCTACCAGATGCTAGCATAGAACCATCAGTTGAGAAGCATACTGAATTAACACAATTACTGTGAGAACGAATTTTTAATATTTATTTTCCTGTATTAATCTGCCATAAACGTATAGAAATATCAGAACCTCCTGATGCTAATTTAGTACCATCTGGTGAAAAAGATACTGAATAAATAGTTCCATCATGACCTTCCAATTATAATTTTTATTCACCTGATTCAACATCCCATAATCGAATAGACTAATCCCAACTTCCAGAAGCTAACATAGAACCATTAGGAGAAAAGCTAACTGATTAAACCTAATTAGTATGACCATCTAATTTAAATTTTTATTGTCCAGTCTTAACATCCCATAAACGTATTGAGTTATCTGCACTACTAGACGCTAATAAGGTTCCATCAATTGAGAAACTAACGCAATAAACGGTTCCATCATGACCCTCTAACTCATTTTTTTATTATTTTGTCCTAACATCCCATAAACGGATATCCTTATCCAAACTACCTGAAGCTAATAGAAAACCATTAGGAGAAAAGTTAACTGATTAAACCCAATTTGTGTGACCTTCTAATTTCTATATTTATTGCCCTATCTTAACATCCCATAAAATTATTGAATTATCTGCGCTACCAGAGGCTAATAAGGTGCCATCAGGGGAGAAGCTTACTGATTAAACCCAATGAGTGTGACCGCCTAATTTTTATTTTTATTGTCCAGTTTTAGCATCCCATAACCGTATTGAGTTATCTAAGTAACGATCGGAGGCTCTGGCTGCATTCAATGCCTCCCCATTTGCCCGCGAAG